AGTGCTGGGATTAAAGGCGTGCGCCACCACCGCCCGGCTTTCTCCATGCTTTTAAGTAGCAATACATACATAAGTAGGATACATACTTTGGACAGTTTGCATTCTAAGTACTTTTCATGCATTAATTTATGCCTTATGAAATATTAGTTTCATTTTGTAGGCTAAACTAAGGTTATAAAGAGGTAAGAGCTCATGCATGCTCATCGGGCTAGTAAGTTTTCTAGCTGGGACACAATCCTAAAGAGGTTCCCAACTCTTCTCAGGTGGTGCTAGCCAAATCAGCCCTCAGAGGTCTATCCTGCACTACCCACATCAGTTCTGAGAAGTCTATCCTGTACTATCCCTGTCAGCCCTGAGAGATCTACCCTATACTGCCCACACCAGCTCTTGATTTCTACCCTGCACTAACCACATCAGCCTTGAAAAGTCTGACCTAAGTTTGTGTCTTTCTTTGCTCCTGAAAATAATTATTGCAGTATGCACCAGACTGCAGAGTTAACCTCTGAATAACCCGGCCAAATCTACTGCTGCCTTGAGAAAGCACATGGCTGAAAGTTAGCCATTTGCTTTATGCCCTTCAGGTAAGGGTCAACTTTTCTGCACAAAAAAAAAAAAAAGTCCTTTTCAAACTTCATTTAATGTGAAAAAAAAAAAAAACAAAAACCACTTTCCAATCTTAAAATGTGTACACAAATGAGGGCAGATCATTGAGATTAAGTTTTACCACCTACTCTAATATAGTCTCTTGTACTTGAATTTACCCAAGTATTTGTTCTTTGAGAATTCCCGATAAGACATGTTTTCATCATATCCACCCTCCACATGTCTCTTTCCAGTTTCTCTAGAATTTACCCAAACAACTGTCACTGAGTGTTTGGGCACCATAGGACAGGGTGGGAGATACCTTTTAAAATGTATATATAATATAAGCTCCAGGAAGTCCTCACCAACCCCACAGCGATAGACCTAACCTGTGTATAGTAACATCTTCATACATAATTACATTGCAAAACAGATTTATTTTCATCCATGAGAACCAGGAAGATAAAAAGGAAAGCATTCTTCAGGCAAGTGGAAATGACAGACTTTAAATTACTGACTGTAGGACCTGCAATAAAAAGTTGCTCCGATTTGCTTCCACTCAGTTATCTTCTTGGCAGTTTCCATGTCAGGGGGTGGGGACAGGCGTGTTTCCTCTTCCTCCTCCTCCTCCTTTTCCTCCTACATCTGAGCCTGCTCATCACCTCCCATGTCCTCCTGCCCATCACCTCCCATGTCCTCCTGCTCATCACCTCCCATGTCCTCCTGCCCATCACCTCCCATGTCCTCCTGCCCATCACCTCCCATCTCCTCCTGCTCATCACCTCCCATCTCCTCCTGCTCATCACCTCCCATCTCCTCCTGCTCATCACCTCCCATCTCCTCCTGC